TGAGGGGGTCACGGGAGAGTAAGCAGAGGCCAGAGCATATAGGGCCTTGGAGTCTACCCTAGGTCACTAAGAAGTCTTTGAAGGGAAGTGGTCAGAACAATACCAACATATGGTTAATTGCCATAGATGGGTTTGAAAGTGTTACAAGTTAGCAAATTACATTGGCTACAGCAGAATTAAGTGCAGGAGTTTGGTTAGGAACCGAATACAACCATCAGGTTGTGACCAGTGGGAGCCAGTCCTGCTCATCCACACTGACCACCAGAAGCAGGAGAACTGGGCAGACACCAGCTAGTGCTCCATGCTGCTGCTCTGGGCCCAGATCCTGAGGGGTAGGGGTTGGGGGCCCAGAGATGGGGCAGCCAGCTTCCTTTTGGGGCTCCCTAAATACTACACCCTGGCTGGGAGTGGTGGCACACACCTGTCATCCCAGAACTCTGTAAGGCTGAGGCAGAAAGGTGGAAAGTTCAAGCCCAGTCTGGGCTATTTAGCAACTTAGCAAGACCCTGTCACAAAATAAAAAATAAAAATAAAGGATGTAGCTCAGTGCAAAGGCTCTGGGCTCAATTGCTAGTACCACAAAGAAACCAAAAATCCTGCCCTCATCTGCTGGCTTCTCACTCCTGAAGAGCTCAGCAGGTGGAAGTGCAAATAGACCCTGTCCATATTCATCTCAAACTTGCAGTCACCAGAACAAAGGCCCTCTGCCCTTTGCTTTGCTCCCCCTACACCGCCTTGGAGGGTGGCTGCCGACAGCTCCCAGATTCCTGGTGGCGTTCAGCGAGGCTGGAGCTCAGAATCAAAGCCAGACCTCTGCACTGTGTCACGGGGTCCCAGTGTGAGGCTGCTCTGTGATCACCCTGTGATGCGACATGGTACAGCTGCGAGTGGGAAAGGAGCCCCGAGCTGGCCACACTGCAATGGGATGTGGGTGGAGCCCAGGGAGGGCCCAGAGCACAAGGCTGGGTGTCCCTCCTGGTCTTCCCACCTGTGTGTCACTTAGACTGAGGTCAGATGGAAGAGACAGAGATAGGGGAGAGAAGACAAGACAACTGTCACTTAATAATTGTGCCTTTAAGAAAACTGCAGCATCAAGACACAAAGTCACCCAAGATTGCAATTCCTGTTTCACCCTTGGCCTGTTTTCCTTCCAGGTTCTTTATTTCTACAGTCTTTTTTTTTTTTTTTTTGGTACGGGGGATCAAACTCAGGACCTTGAGCTTGCCAGGCAGGTGTGGTGCCAGAGCTAAATTTCTGGCTCCCCTACAGTCTTAAAGATTTGGCCCATGGTTTTCTTCTAACACTAAAGACCCAAATGCCATAGACTTTCATCCTCAAGGAAGCAGCTCTATTAACTGGGTACCACATCTTTAGCCTTCAAACACACGCAAACAGTTTGCATTTTAACCCAGCCTACTCATGGCTGGTCTGACAGACTCCAGGTAGCTATAAATAACTCAAGGAATACACATCCCTCATCATCCATTCTGAGGACACCCCACGGTCACATAAATACACCAGCCCCAGACCACAATGCACCTCACCCTCAAGTGCCTGTGCACCCATCTGTGGACTGCTCTGATTCTGCCTAATAAACCTGGCTGTGTCTCTTACTGATGTGTCCTGAAATGATTTCTGTGACAAGAGTCAGTGAACCTACTTCATGGGGAGAGTTGAGATTCCCCATTTCCCCTCTGGGTGACCTCCTTGGACCTTGACCAGTGATAGTCAGAAGGCGGGAAGGCACTAAAGATGCATCCCAGTCATCCAGTGTGAAGTCTCAGCAGGGTTCCTCAGTTTCCTCCAAATCCTACAGCGTTGTGCTTGAATATCCTATCCATGGGAGCCCCCTGCAGCCTGTTCTTCATTCAGATAGCACGGACCTTATGTACTTCATCATCCAAAGTGTGGTTAAGCACGCTCTTCAAATGCCCCGCTAATGTTCATTATGATCAATCTCACGTTAATGATGATATCTGAAAGAAGTCAAGAGTGAAGCAAAATGCCAAAAAAGAAAAAATAAGTAACAGTAGGATTCAGGATTGGTAGCCACAAAACTCAACTTTCAATTGAAGTACAACATACACACAGATGAGCACCCAAACCAAAGTGTACAGCTGGGAGAATTTTCACAATCTGAATACATCGGGTGACAGGCAACCAAATCAAGCAATGGAACATTCTGGAAACTGCACCAGGCTTTCCCTTGAGTTACTGTCCCTTTAGGAGTAACTTGGGTCCCTACTTGCTTCACCTTGCTGGGTGCCCTAATGTGGGGGAGGTACAGACTATTCATTGCCATGGCTGTATAAGATTCCCCCTGTGACTATCCCCATGGGCATTTGGGAACTTTCCAGGTTAGGGTTATTATTAATAGTGCAGCCATGAGCACACTAGCACATTACTTTCGATGAATACATGGGTACATTTCTGTGGGGTATGCACCTAGGGTGGAATTGTTAGGTCACGTGGTATCTATATTCAGTTTAGGCTATTTCATGGAAGAGTAAAGAATTTACTCGGTGGAGCATGGAGGCCAAAGAATGAACAGGAAGCTAGAAGGGAGCTATAGGAAGATAGGGGGGTAGTCAGCTCAGTGGGCCTCACAGTGGAGCCCGAATGGTCTTCAAAGTGCTCTGCCATCCCAGCCCTGGACACTCTTACCAGCAGACACACCATTTCTGCAGCCTACCAGCTCTAGACAGCTCCCTTGCTGGACAGTGCCACCCCTGGACAGTGCCACCACTGTGGCTTCCATGGAGTGGTTCTCAGCATCCTTCATTTCTGTGTCACCTACTCTAGGCTCACAGTACCGAGTAGGAGGTCCTAGTAGTCTGCCAGATCCCTGACCACATGCCTGCTGAAATGAAGCTGGAAAGGGGGTGCCTGAGAGACAGGGACACCTCCCTGCTTCGGCTTCCAGAGTGGGAGGCAGGCACCACACTGCACTAAATGCACTAAGTCAGAGTAACATCCTCCTGGGGGCAGGATGGGCAGATGCTGAACACCAACATAAAAATACAAAATGACAACTGTTTGATGCAGGCAGCCTGTGATGGAAGCAGGGTTCACTTCACTGAACCTCCTGATCAAGGGAACACATATCTCATACACCATGCCCATGAACTTGACCTAAGGTGGATTAGGAATGACCTCCAACAGATACCTGATGTGCTTTTACGGGCTGTGCTTTGTGTTAGCAGGCTAATGACAATGATGTAGGCCACAGAATAGAGATCCTTGTTACAACCCAAGCCACAGAAGGACCAGAAGTTGTATCAGCTCATGCAGTGCCTGGTTTTGCTGCGGTTCAAGCACACAGCTCCCTAACTGCACTGGTCTCATCAGTGAGCACTCACAAAACTGAGGATGCTTCTAGAAAAAGCAGCTAGGCATGGTGATGTGTAAAACTGTCTACCAGGGCAGCAAATCATTAACTGATCTGAAAATTATATTTGCCTCTTTGTAGGCAAGTTTATATTCTTCATCCAAATGAACCACTGCTATCTTTGAAGTCACATATTCTTCCCTACATTATAGCTTGGCATTTAGTACACGTGTTTGCTTTAAATGATAATCAGAGCTTCCCTCAATTTTCTTCAAACAGAAAAGCAGAAGGAGTAATTATCATTGTCCCCAGTTTGCAGTTGGAATAGCTCAGGGACACAATGGCTTGTGCTGCAGTACACAGCAAGCCTCTGCCAGAGCCAGGGGAGAGGCAGTTTCTGAACAGATGGAACCGAACAAACTTAGACACAGAGCCCTCTGTCCTGTGATTACATCAGGGTTGCGGGGGTGTGGTCTAGTCTGAAATGAACAGACATTTCTCAGACAAAGAAGTAGAAATAGCAAATACATGAAAAAATGTTCAACATCACTGGTCATTCGAGAGATGCAAATGAAAACAATGCTAAGATTCCACCTCACTCCAGAA